AATAATGTGGTTGCATAAGCATAATACAGTTAAGTGTTGCAATACCGCTTGCAAGCCTTCAATCATGCAAGGTACGGTATAGAAATACTGTAATATTTATGTAATAAATTGGGTTACATCACATGACCCTGTATAGTAGCAAGTCACTCCCAGTCAGGAGTGCATGAGTCAGTATACTGTAAACTGTAGTAGATGGAGAGGTGGTATGGCTGCTAAGAGGTGGAGGAGTATGTTTACCAGTTAGGGGGTGAAAAAAGTGTGAGATGAGGTAAAAAGTTGATAACATGATTTACACCTGTTGGTAGTGTGAGGCAAAGCCAAGCATATTGTGGGGGTTAAGCTACTAAGTAAAATCTGGACAGGTTGCCAGGTAGTAGTGGTAGAGGAGCTATTTGGAGGGGAGGTAAGCGACATGATCACTTGCAGGGTGCAGCACTGACGATCTCCTTTAGACATGAGGTCACATCAGAGGAGCCTTCACTTTATAGCACAATTGCATTCCATGTGATGTCATTTCTGAGCAACTTTGAATCATTTACCATAAATTATTGCACGAATATATGATAGTTCTGTATTTATGATGTCTGAACACTGTGCAACAAATTTTAGGGAAAGTTGTGTTTATCTGATTGTTTAACTTTTTTATATGTTTTCGAGTACGTTGATTCCAAATATGACTAGTTTTTTTACAGCATCAATAGTTTTATCAGAAATTAGCAATTAATTTTTTATCATCTCTGAAATTTAACCAGAAATCAGAAGGTGAAATGTTGATATACATCACATTTGCTAATGAAATAAATGAAACAAGAGCACAATTTTATGTTATATTGAAAGCATAAACAACACACTGCTTTTCTACACTTGTCACTAATGAAATTGAACAATAAACTATGCTAAAAATGAACACTTTAACGGCATTTTCTTTTGTGTTCCTTAGGGTCATCTCGAATCAAACTCCACACGTAGTCGCCCATTATAGCTTCATCCCATGTCCCCTGATATCTCTTCTCCATAGTTTGTATGTCCTGGTGAAACCGTTAACCATGCTCTTCACTCACGTGTCCCAAGTTTGGTCTGAAGAATTCCAAGTGTGAATGCAAGTAGAGTAACTTCAGTGACATTCTGCAGCCAAGTTCTTTATAACATACAATTAAATTTTCCACCATCTCTTTGTAGTTCTCAGACTTGTGGTTGCCCAGAAACCCATGTACTATAAGCCGAAATGCTTGCCAGGCACTTTTTTCAACAGTTGACATTTTGTCTTCCAAATCTTTACATGCCAACATCTGCCTAATTTATGGTCCAATGAAGATACCGCCTTTGACTTTGGCCTCAGACAATTTTGGGAACATTAAACGGAGATATTTAAAGGCGCTACTTTCTGGGCTTAATGCTTTGATAAACTGCTTCACAAACCCTAGCTTTATGTGAAGTGATGGCAGCAATATCTTCTCTCTTTGAATAAGAGCATTGTTACATACATTGTGTGCACCAGGAGTTAACTCGCTTACGACATGCCAATCTCTTCTGTCATAGTGTTTGTCATCATCTGCTCTACTATCCCATAGAGAGAGTATACAAGAATACTTGGTATAGCCACCTTGTAGTCCAAGCAGGAAACCTATCATCTTTAAGTCTCCACATACATCCCAATTGTTTCTTGTATAGTTGAGCATGTCCAACAAAATCTTTAAATTTTCATAGTCTTCCTTCATGTGAACTGAATGACCTACCGGAATTGATTGAAGTGTATTCCTATTGTGAAGCAACACAACCTTACGACTTTTTGTAAAGCTGTCAATAAACAGACGCCAATCAAAAGGGTTGTACTCAATGCCTATTTGGCCAAAAAGGCCATTGACATCAGAGCAGTAACACAGCAAATTGTGTTCCAAAACTTTGAAGAAAGGTGTAAAAGTTATATGCCTTTTCCTGTATGTACTAATCTTGTAACTAGGATTTAGTAAATTTCACTCCTTGAGACGAGATGTCAAAATCTCAGCATTTTCCTTGGTAAGACCTAAATCCCTGACTAAGTCATCCAGTTTGTGCTGATTAGGAAAATGTGGGGATTTGCTCGAGTCTGCTACATTAAAGTCAACATCCTCGCCCTCTTCAGAAGATGAGAAGTCAACATTTGAAATTGCTGTGCTTTTTAACAGAAATCCCCCAAAATTGCATTAAAATTGAGAAAAAGTGATATTGTTAATTTTTCAAAAAAATATTGATAGCATGGCAAAACCAATGGCAGATTCATAATCAGCATGTCTAAATTAGTAAAGAAACATATCAAAATCAACATAAACAAAAAATTGTTGCACAGTGAAATTTATTTATATTTTTATAGTGGAAAAATACTGTATTAATTCTGTATCAAAGAAATAATATACACTACTGTATTACCCTGGTTTATGTGGCCTCCCTTTTATGTGTTTTTTTTTATTAAAACACTATGGGGGAATGTTAGTGTTTCTTATATAAGCTCAGTACAATTTACACAGTATTACCATCAGTTTCACCTCTTGCTAGTCTCTTTGGAGCCATATTAAAAGGTAAATTAATGAAAGATAAAAGCACTATTCCACAACACTGAGAATCTGGACTGGCAGATGTAAACAAACTTGCAGTAGTGCTGGGAACATGGATATCTACTTTACCAAGCAGTTTTGTGAACTCATGAATCATGCCAGACCACAGAAGTTACCAGTCCACACAGTACTGGATTAGAGGGGTTTGACCTGTAGTAACTTTTTCTAGTGTAATCTTTATTATTGTACACTAACTTTTTTTTTTAATTTGCTGCTGTACACTTGTATTGAATACAGTACTGGAGAGTATCATTCATTTTAGACAGGGCACAGCCACACACTAATGTTACAGTAATGTACTGTTTTCTGAAGTTTAATTTCCTTACAGTAATATGAATACAGGGACTATTACTTTTATTCTCTTCACCACTGATCGGTTCGTTAGCCGTTTGGGTGGTCGGTCACGTCTCTGTTACGGAATGTTGGAGTACTGGGCATGCACTGGCTCCTGAATGTATCTGAACCTGCTCCAGTGTTGGTCAAATCTGGTCTTGAAACAGCTCACACTTGGTGTTGTCACAACACTCTGGCAGTTTGTTCCACGAGTTCACAACTCTCACTCAGAAAAATTTTGCCCTCACAGTTTTCTGGACTTGCGGCTTCTTCAACCTTGAGCTGTGACCCCTTGTGGGGCGAGCGTTCTCCAGCTCCAGGTAAGAACACTCAACCGAGTAGTAACCTTTGAGATGTTTAAACACCTCAATTAGGTCTCCCCTTGCCCATCTGTAGTATAAGCTAGGCAATTGCAGGTACTCTAATCTCTTTGGGTAGCTGAGGTGCCGAAGTGTCAATCAACTGACAGTCCCTAGCATATTTTGGGGACCAGATAGTACTCCAGGTGGGGAAGCACCTCACTCTTGAAGATCTTTATGTGGGACGGACCATCTAAATATCTGAATGATCTTCTTATAAGACCTAATAATTTAGTGCTTGGTTCACCTTCTTCCCACTTTGGCCTGAGAATTTCAGTTCATTGTCAACATACACACCTACCGGTCCTTTTCGCATTGTCTCAATTAATGTAGTTGGGACATATGATACGCCTCCTTACCGTTGGTATGTCCCAGGTGCATCCTCTTACACTTCATAACATTGGATCTTAACAGCCATTTCTTCAACCATTCTTGAAGCTCACAGAGATCCTTCTGCAGCTCTTCAAAGTCTGTTTGGTTCTTAATTTCACGAAATACCTTGGCATCGTCCACAAACATTTGTATGGAGGAGTGTATAGCTTCAGGCATGTCATTAATGAAGCAGACAAACAACAGCAGGCACAATACACTACCCTGTGGTACCCCTTTTTTTTACAGGTACAATTGACAATTTCGTGCCATAAATCACCCCACACTGCTTGTGATCATAGAGAAAGTACTATTCATTATTTCTGTTTGTATGTCACATCCCCAAACTACAAACTACAGCTGGAGGCTGTGATATGCTAGTGAGGGCGACTGGTGAGTTGAACCCATATTACTGCTGTAGCCTGTTGACTGCACCGTTCTTAGTGTTGCCAAATACCCAGAAAAGTCTGGATTTCTCCAGATTTTTCAGCTGTATACCAGATTTTTCTCATTTTTAATAAAATAGTGGTAAGTCTCCAGAATTTTCATATACTGTACAGTAAATCCCCCAAATCTCTTGATTTTATTCCATTTTACTCATTGAGTCATCCATCATGCCACAAGTTGACTTGTATCTCATGAACAATATGACATGGATAAGACTGATTCCCGTCAGCTTACAGTTGCCATTTAGGGATTTTTCCAAAGCCATTCGCCGTTATCCATTGTTTGGGATGAAATGAGCGGGTATTAGAGCTTATTGTATTGATTTTTGTGTACAAACAAACACCATCACCGGAAGATTTTATTTTTATTACCCCATCACAACCGTGTCATGCAACTTATCCAGAAATTTCGTGAGCACTTCCAGAATTTTTCGAAAATTTTCCAGAAATATGGCGAATATGAATATGCTTCATCCACTGTCACTCCAGATGAAGACTCATCTGAGATGGAAGTGTTAAAATACCTGGACTACCCATGCAATGCATTGTCCTCACTACATTAGTATCCAGGAATTGTGAGTTTTTATAAAATACAACACCCCTCTTCCCTCCTCTGCTCCTGTGGAGTGACTTTTTAGTTTGGTGGGCCACATCCACTCTCCAAAGAGAAGTAGACCATCAGATAAGATGTTTGGTGAATTGGTCATTCTGAAAAGCAATAATTATTAATTTGCCAGGTTCATTGATATATTGATATCACAATAATGATATCTTGGAAGGTGGGTCACATCAATAATTTATTTATTTTTTTCACAAAAGTTCATTATATATTTAAAATTTGCTTTTGGGGGTCATCAAATACACTTTTCTATTGCATTCATTGTTTGTATTACTTCCAATACCAAAATTAAAAATTTACTAATTAGTGGGATTTCTTTACAGTATTCTTATAGTAAAGTACTGTATCGTTTTAACCATCAACACAGTATCGATATCACACTAGATGATTTCTGAGTATTTTTATTTATTTTTTCATCATGTTCGCCACTTATCAGCTTACTAGCCGTTTGGGCGGTCTATCCACTGTTAATACAGGACGAAACCTGTGGTGTTTGGTAGGGTCACACTGGATAACACCCTTCTCACGTGTGTCCGGGCTGAGGCTCGAACCCTTTACATATTGGTGAGAGTTATGCGCGTTACCATTGTACCACCAACACCCCAGATGTATCGGTATCGCCGTAGACAATTTAGTGTATCGATGCCCATCACTGGTGACATATTCTGAGTACACTTTTATCCTCTTTACCACTGATTGGCTCGTTAGCCGCTTGGGCGATTGGTCACATCTCTGTTATGCACTGTTGGCAAGTACTGGGCATGCACTGGCTCCTGAATGTACCTGGTCTGGTCTTGAAAGAGCTCACACTCGGTGCTGCCACAACACTTTCTGGTAGATTGTTCCAAGAGTTCACAACTCTCACTCCGAAAAAGTTTCCCCTCACAGTTTTCTGGACGTGCGGCTTCTTCAATCTTGAGCTGTGACCCCTTGTGGAGCAAGCGTCCACCAGCTCCAAGTAAGGACACTAGACTGAGTAGTGCCCCTTGAGATGCTTATACACCTCAATTAGGTCACCCCTTGCCCGTCTGTAGTATAAGCTAAGCAAGTTCAGGCACTCCAATCTCTCAGGGTAGCTGAGGTGCCAAAGTGCAGGCACCAGTCTGACAGTCTCGAGCATATCTCGGGGACCAGACGGGGTGACAGGTACAGTATTGTGTAGGTAAATATCAAACCTTCACTACAGTAGC